TAATTCTGAGTGTCCTCTAACAAACACTTTTGTTCGAAAGTAATGAGAACTTGTGGGTTCATACGTTTTTAATTTCATTTTTGACTACTTTTAATACTAGTCCAGACTTGTCTGAGCAGTAATTTTCAAGTCACAGTACTTTTAAGATATTTAATTTTAAGCCAAACTCTTTACACCAACTATATTTGTTGGTGGCCCAGACACTTTGGGGTCTGAAATAAAAGGGGATTTGTTGGTGGCCCAGACACTTTGGGGGCAGAGGCTGAAATAAAAGAAAATAGAAATCACATTTGTGTCTAATGGATTGTAAAAGTTATTTAGGTCTGGTTTAACAGTGGGACCAAACAATATTTTCTTCATGATGCTCACAATTTTGGAATCTAGTCACCAGCCCGTTGGATGTTTCCGGCTGGATTTGGCTTTTTCCACGAATCTTCCTCGTCTGCCATGTTAAAGGTTCTGTGTTCAAATCCACCTCGTCTTCAATCCCACGTGACGTTGCTTAAGTAAAGTAATCCCCATTCAGACTGGTATTCTTGTACCTGTTAAAGGAACAAGCCGGAAGTAATCCGACACATTTATATTTAGGAATCTGGGCTTGATTATTTTGAAGAAAAAGTAGCAGAAACAGGCAATATGGGCTGCACTTGTGGTACCTGGCCCACACAGTGGTGCTCTGGCTGTGAGCCCAGTGCTGTAACCACTAGGCCACAGGCCTATATTTAATACTACATTTGAAAACGCGGCGGTGGGATTGACTCGAACATGTGATTGCTCGGTGGTGTTAGTGTGTCGTACGCCCGGCTTTACTCTGTTTTTCCTTTGACAACTTGATTTATGACACCGAAGAACTGTGTTATTCTGTAACTAAAATGTGCAATGTAATACTTTTACTCAAGCTGCCCGCCTGCAGCCATGAGGCCTTTCTGCTGCTCAAGCATCTTTGTGACTTTGACCCGACACTTATAAACCCAGTACTCACAGTACTAGGACACCACTACACTGTTTGGTTGGTGTTTTAAAAATATGAATATATTTAAAGGAGGTCAAATCTCAGTATCAGTAACGACGATGCTGAAATTGTTTTTTCTTTCTCGTGTGTTCAACACAAACACATTAATGAATGTCTCGAAAAGAAAATTGTTACATCACACGCTCACTTGTCGCAGTCAGCCGTGCTGAAAAAAACACATCGTAAATCACGATGCCGCTGAAATCAGTCAAATATGTATGAGAGACAGCGAGGTGAGGTGTGATGTCACGAGCCGCGGTGCTGCTGCTGTCACATTAATGATTCAGACTAAACAATTCACATTAGTCATTTATCAGTGCGTTTGATTCAACTACCATAGAAACATACCTGACACTCAGAATGGCCTGAGGTCTGAGGGGGGTAAATCATAATGCTTCTCAAATAGTGGGGCGCCCCCTGAGGGGCACGGGGAGGCGTGACGGTCTTCCAATGGAATGTGGCCTGCTGGACATAAGTGTACCACTGCTGTAATGCTTGAATGATAACAAGCCTCCAGTCACTAGGTGGCAGCAACTCATACAGTGGTTAAAGATAAAAGTATACATGTCATCAGGTTTGCGGGGGGTGTGGGTCAGAGGGTGGGGCCATGAGGCCACCAAATTAGACATTGAACCATTGAAAACCCAAAGACATTGTGGGTCGTCAGAGGGGGCGCTACAGAGCCTCAGAAAATTGGAGGGAAGACAAGAAAAAAAAAAAGTAAAAATTTATTTTATTATATTTTTTAACCATGTCCTGAACCATAAAACGCTGTAATCATCGGATTCTTAAGTTTCGGCATGATGATGTCATAACCTGTGTAGGTTTATTATTTCAGTGGTTTATTATTCAGTGCTGAAAACATGTTTCCTAGTTTGCTGACCTTATAAGAAAATCATGTGCTGCTGAAACTATTCTCCGTCAACAGCACAAACTCCTCTGTGTGTCACTCGGACCGTGTCTTCTAAATATGCAGGGGATTTACTGTGGCCGTTACTTCTCCGTCTGCCACACCTTTCCCTGACATTTTTATGGATGACCCCCGGGACGACTAATATGAGCTCATCCATCAAATGAAGCCAGTGAACGGAACGGCTTACAGATGCCATGAAAACTATTACGAGCTGATAACAACTTCCTAACGTCACCCTTATGACGCCCATAATCAAGTTCTCTCCCTGCTCAGACCGCTGTTACCTTTTGTTCTGGCCAAAGGGCTACGGCAGCCTCTGGATTGGTCAGTCCATCCACATCAAACCTGTTTGAACCAGCTGGTGGCGGCTACAGTTGCTTCTACGTTTTCTGTGCCTCTGTCACGGGCGTCTGCCATGTGATTCCTGTTAGTGTTTTCACTTCGGCGTTGCAGGCGTTCGACGAGGCCAAACTAGCGTGGTTCCTTTTGTGCTCAGATAAAGCTGTCCTCGCTGTGGAAGGAAATGGAGCGAGAGGCAGGGGGTGCTCTCCACTGATCTGGGAGCCACTGCTGAGATGAGATTTTGTTTGATTTGGTCTGTACCACCAGACAGATCAGAGAAGAGAGGAAAGGATTACTACAAGATGAAAGAAATCTATTATTTTTTTCCTATTGATTAGAGACGATTTTTTTGACTTTCGGGCATAATTCTTTTCTCAAACCCATTGTTTTATGATAAAAACTGTTGGTCATAAACTAGGGTATAGATTACTGTTTACTAAAGGGAGGGCGGGGCTACAGTACTCTGGGCTGACACCAGATTATCCTTTTAAAGTCAATCCAGTCACCAATCGCTAGTAAAATGATGTTCGTAGGTTTGTTTATATGTGTAACTTGTGATCTTATTTAGAGGAAAAGAAGGAAACCTGCAGCAACACATGGACATCAGCATTCCCTCGACGTGAAGATGTTTTTATTTAATTTTTATTTAATTTTATTTAATGAAATATGCAAATATGCAACACAGATATACTTGCAGGAACACAAGATCGAGCGACCGATATTATCCACCCGATACGACCGATATTATCGACCCGATATTAGCTGCATCTATCTGCTCCTGACCCAACCTCCACTGTTCAATTTCAGGACAATTGTGGCCCGCGAGTCAAAAAGTTTGTCCATGCCTGTTTTAGTGACAGACTGATGTACAACTTAAAAATACATGTTTCCTAGTCGCCTTCTCTGTGTGATCCTACCCTAATAATTTGAACAGGGGAAAGTTAATGGTTAAACCCCTAGCTGTGCGACTAAATCATCTTCATCCTGCTCGTTAGCTTGGGAAACCATGTCCAGAGTCTACGCAGCGTCTTTGCGTCACGCAGATTTATTGTGTTGAAGAAGCAACATTTCCCTCCTTCTTTCCTATGTCATGCGTGTCTGCCATGTGATTCCTGCTAGTGTCTTCACTCCTGCGCTGCAGGTGAACTTCCACATGGCCAAAGCTAGCGTGGTTCCTTTTGTGCTCAGATAAAGCTGTCCTCGCTGTGGAAGGAAATGGAGCGAGAGGCAGGGGGTGCTCTCCACTGATCTGGGAGCCACTGCTGAGATGCTGGTCAGTTTGGGAAATGATGTCCAGAACCTTCACAGACCCTTACAGCGTCTTTGCGTCACGAAAATGTCGTCGCAGAAGCAACCATTTCCTGTTTTTGCTTAAACAGCGGCGGCTAATTGAAAATGTTTTCAAAGATAACGAGTCCTGACGGTACCGTTTTTCTTTGTTATGCCTCGGCTCTTCGCTGCCCCCTGGACTCTTTCTCTCAGTGTTTTCCATCCTCTCTGATCTTCCACGGCTACAACTTCACTTTATTCTGGCCTTTTCTTTGGCTTCACTCCCATTTGGGCTTCTCTGTGTTAGATCACAGGCATAACCACTGTGACACAGGCCATCTGTTGGACAAAAAAATGGCCAATTCAGGCAGCGAGGTGAGGGCTTTGATGTTGTGGGATGACAGTAATCTGCGTTTTTTTTTTGTTTTGTTTTTTTTTTCCACTGCCTTTGCCATTCTATGAAATCCTCTGTCCTGTAGTGAATATTTCTAAATGTATTTTTTCTTAGTAAGGCCAGACTCATATATTTAGATTTTTTTCAAAGCAATTGAAAATGTTTATCTTTGTGGACCATTTTATTTTTCCAGTCGTACCCAGGGATGTCTCATACAAATCAGCTTCAAAGTCAGAAGAATTCAAACAGAAAATATCTATTTTATGTAAATATTTTGATCTTTTTAGCCATTGAAATAAAGGAATAAAAATAAAAATAAATTAAACCGGAGTCACATGACAGTGATTGACCATCGTGGAAATGTTTTAATAACAAAATGCAACTGAAATACATTATACACAGATTATTGGTATTCAAAGCGATTTCTACATAAATATCAAACCAGCAAGTGTGTGTGTGTGTTGTCAGAATTATTTTCACTTGAGGCAAGAGAGATTAGGAAATAAAATTGCATTTGAGTGGAATTCTTAAGAGAAAATCAAGCTTGAAACAGTACATTTGGATGTGTTGATTGTTTCAGTTATTTAATGAAGAGTAATCAGATTACAATTGTAACACATTTAGACCCACGGGCACAAGAATGGTCACCCGTGTATCTGATAACTTCACCATCGACCATTGCTCTAATGCACAGTTGATACACATGTAATTTGAACACACTGTGGGGAGATTTAAATGCTGACAGTATCTCTTCAACACTCAGACCAGTACGTCTACAACTGACCTAATGACTGACACAATGACAGGAGCTTGTAAATCATTTCAAGTTTATAATTTCATTTTTTGTCTTAAGTTAATTATTTTTTCCATATTTACTGTTGATTTATCTTGATTAGTCATTACAATAAAGGTTAATTGTGATTAATTGTGATTAATTGTGATTAATTGTGATTAACCACAGATAGTCGGTGATCAGTCAGGATCAAAGTTAGTCAATCATTTGACCGCCTTATAACTGATATCCAGTGATCACTGATCAGTATTTCTTTTTGTCCGTCTCCCTAACACAGCAAGGGAAGAAAATGTGGCCACGTTTCGTGGCTCAGAATACTTCTGCTACGATCTGTCCCAGAACCCCATCCAGAGCAGCAGTGATGAAATTACACTCTCTTTCAAGACGTGGCAGCGCAACGGCCTCATCCTTCACACCGGCAAGTCAGCTGACTATGTCAACCTGGCGCTGAAAGACGGCGCCGTCTCTCTGGTCATCAACCTGGGGTCTGGAGCCTTTGAGGCCATCGTGGAACCTGTCAGCGGGAAGTTCAACGACAATGTATGGCACGACGTCAAAGTGACTCGCAACTTACGACAGGTGAGGAGTCAATACTGCTGTTCACTCTTTCTCCGACTTCACCAACCCAGCAGATTTGTTTCCTCCCGTAGTTGCATTATTCATCTTTCCTTTACCATAAATTACCACTGTATGGTGATGGAGAAAAGCACAATAACCATAGCTGTAGAGCTACCACAAAACAGTTCACAATTTAAAATACTTGCCTTCAAACACACCCTAAGAAAAGGAAAACAAAAGGATACGTTTCTCCATTTTATTTTTAAAGGTTTGTTTCTTGGAAAACCATAAAGTCCTCAAACAAACTTTCTGGATTGGCTTTAGTTCTGAACTGAGTGACTGTTCAATACTCACAGTGACACTTGTTCCATTTTTGATTAAAACGTCTGTCCTGTATTTGTCTGTCTTGCCACAGTGACTCATCAAAGTAAATATAGAACTGGAGGAGGAAATAGATTTTAAACGCCTGTCTTTCATGTTGTTGTTTGTTTTTCATTTCATTTCATGCATTAACTCCTTCATTATCCACTTGCTTTTGCCCAATAGAAAACAGGCCCAGGATTCATAAACAAACTCCATTGTATGGTAGATATCGTTTCTCATTGTCGTTTCTTTTGTTGCTGTGAACTTTCACCGTTGGTTTTCTGAACTTTTCTGGTCTTTAAGCTGACGTTGCCGGGTTCTTAAGTTTGATTTGCATATTCCCTGATGTCACTTCTCATTTTCCTCACGTGTTCCTTCTTCACATCCAAAGTCTCACATCAGCTGGGTTCCAGAAACCTATTTATGGACGTTAGGCTTTACTTGTTTAATAATACAGAAGAATTAGAAATCCTTAAAACCCGGTGTTTGTTTGGTTTTAAATACACCGCCCCATGTTAACTGCTGCTCAGAGACGAGTCGTGGCACGGCGCCTGGACTTGTTTAACTGTGGAAGTGTTACACTGAAACCTGAGTACAGCTTAACTACAGTATGTTGTTTCAGGTAGTGCAGTACTTATCGAGTTAAGCATCAGGTTCTGTTAACAAGGTCTCCAGTTTTTGGGATTGGTGTTGACCAGCTGCAGTACTACTACTGAACTGTAGGACAAAGTTTCTGATCACTGTCATTAACATTTTCCTGCACATCCCTGGTGCAAACTTTAGCATTTCCTGTTTTGTCCAGCAGGTGAAACATTCTATTAAAATGAGTTTTTACTTTAGAGAGGGTCCCAGACTTATGTCAGAGTTATGTTCCTACAGTGTGACGTAACTTTTGCTGACATACTGCACGTCAGTACCGTTGTCACGGTGACCTGTGGTGCTGGTCAGCGGTCTGCCTCTCTGTTTTCCTGCACGTCTGTATTGGGGTGTTTGTGACGTCACTCTCCACTTCCTTTTCTTTGTGTTGACAGTTTTCTCCACTGCATGTCACTGTCGTGCACTCAACAAAATAAATAGATAAAAAAATGACCTTGTTGTTGTGAAGAGAGATCATTGTATTAACTGTTCATTCAACATAGGCCTCTCCACATATCCAAAACAAACTGTATATATTTATATTTTACACTCCATATGGGTTGGGTTCCCACCTTGACGGACTGTTATCTCTCACTGCAAGGTTACGATCTCAGTGGATGGGATTCTGACGACCACAGGTTACACCCAGGAAGACTACACCATGCTGGGATCAGACGACTTCTTCTATGTGGGCGGCAGCCCCAGCACCGCGGACCTGCCGGGGTCTCCAGTCAGCAACAACTTCATGGGCTGTCTGAAGGAGGTACAGAACCACAGTCTTTCATCAAAGGCCTCACAAATGTTTACACCAGCGACCGTGTCCACGTGTATCAGTCTGCACAGTTTCTGCTGCCTGTTAGTAGAGACGTTCACATGTCCTTTCAAAATAAGAGCGTAGACCTACAGTCTTCTTTTATATTCCTGTTCTATGATGATGGACATTTTACGCCTCATCAGTAGTGACTGCAAACAAATAATCCATTGACATCAGATCAAGAAATGTTTTTCACAAACTTCTTTTTTTAAAATGAATTCATTAATAATAATTACATTTTGAGTGTGTAAACAATCATGGCAACTCCTATCATGAAGCCCGGAAATGTGTGGCTCACAGAGGTCAGAGGTCACTGCAGCCAATAATTATATTGGGATTGTTCTGAACTCCTGTTGAACAAATGTCTCTATTTGTATTGACATGAAGTCATGAGATTTATGCTGAGAATTTAATTTTTAATTTGTCTTTACCTGTTGCTTTGTTTTTATATAACTATAATAACTATATTTAAAATTTAATAGAATTTAAAAAACCTATAAAAGAAATTAAAATCATGCATTTTTACTAATACATTCTACTATTCAAAGCTGCATTTGTGGGTGAAGCAGCAGTTGTCCCTGTGATCTCATCCCTTCGTTCATACAGAGGATGAAAGAGAAAATGTCAGTGAATGAAATGAAGAATGTTTTAGTTGAACAGTTGAATCTGTTTCACCTAGCTCTCGGTAGTCTTTCTCCAGAATCAGTGAGTGTTTTACCAGTTACTTAGTTCTTAGTGATGCACCACAGTGAAGAGTCATCCTCCCT